TCAGCAGGGCCGGTGAGGAGGGGAGAGGGTGTGTGCCTGCGCCTCCACATCCATCTCCCACCCCTGGGGCTGCGGCTCGGGTGTCCCAGGTCGCCTGGGTGCCCTCCGCTGGGCTCTCACCCCAGGGCCCACCCCTTAGCTCTGCCCTGACCTCCACTCACAGTCCCCCGGCCAACTCCTCAGTCTAGCCCTCTGGGTGCACCTGTCGCTGCACCAGGATGCTGATGGGTGCACCCTGTTCAGAAACGTGCCCCCCAGACACAAACGTCTTGACGACAGTGTTGTCTCTAACAGGCTCATTCAGAAACTTGCAGGCACTGGACTTTCAATTTGGGAGACAGAATTCTTGCCTGCCCTGTAGACCCAGCACTGAGCATGGCCCTTGGACATGAAGTGACTACTGGATAAATATTTTTTCTAAAAGAGGACCTTGTACAGAAATATGAGCCACAGTTGATTGAACTGCCTCAGTTACGGGACGCGTGGCAGGGGGTGCGTGCCGTGAACACACCACCGCTCAGCGGTGCCACTGCGGGAACCGGGTACACCGCGCGTGCTCCGGGCTGCACAGAAAAGCCTCCTAGAGCTACTGCGTGAAGAAGTTAAAATCACAGTCTCTACAGATTTATCCCATTCATGTAAATAAAAGGTGCGTGAACACTCTGTGTCTGAAAATAAGAGAGTGAGGTCAGGGACGGTAACCAGCTGGAACGTGGTCAATGGACAGACAATTAGGGAGAGTGAAAAGGGACGTTTCTTCTTCTTTCTCACTGATACCTCTGTAGTGATTTTTCACGGTAAGCACAGATTGCTAGACATCTTTGAGAATTAAGAAATCATCAAATAAATAAAACTGTTCATGGAATTGGATGAAAATGGGACATCATTTGATTCTACCAGCTAAAAGCCCAAACATCCTCTCTTTGGTTAAAATAGTACATAAAGGCTCAGTCACTTCCCTTTATTCTCACTGTGATTTAGTGATGGGTCTGTGTCCCTCTGACGACATCTCACCCGGGTCCATGAACCACCCCTGCCCTCAGCTCTCATGCCTGCTGAGAGGCCACCTGCCACCGCCCTGCACAGGAACCTCTAAGGGCTCAGTTCTCAGAGCGAGGCCCCCAGGCCAGCAGCCCAGCATCAGCTGGGAGCTCACTGAAGCGAGCATCCTGAGCACAAGCCCCGAACCCCGTCACCCAGACCCTGGGGGCCGGGCCCAGCAAGCTGCATGCCGCCCAGATCGGGGCTGAAACATGGGCCACCCGCCTGCGGGTGACGGCGACTCCACCTGCGCCCGAGCAGGACCCCAGGGGGCCTTGCCAGGACAGACCGTGCCCCACCCCACTCACCCCTCCACGCCCTCCACCTGCCTGCTTGTAGAAAAGCTTTAGCCAACTGCAAAGAACAAATTTAATCAGAGAATCGAGAGAAGTTCAGAAACCAAAGAAAACAGTCAAGCAAGACAAAACAGCAATAGTTTAGCCATTAAACAAAGTCAAAGACCTTCTCAAGAGCTAAAGATAATATTCTGAGCCACGTCCTTTGAGCTGTTTTGCAGACACTGAGACCCCCACCAGGTAGAAGAAGGTAGCTGTGTGCTGCCCACAAGCACGCAGACCCCAGAATCAAAAAGTTGATGATGCTGACTCGCGATGACCTCACCACCAACCAATCAGAAGACTGTCCCTGGGCTGATCACAGACCCCACAAGCCCCTCCCACACCCTGTCTGTAAAAGCCTTTCCCTGAAGGCCGTGGGGGAGTTTGGTTCTTTTGAGCACCAGCTGCCTGGACTCCTGGCCGGGCGCCTGCAATAAATGCCACACCTCCCCTCACCACACCCTGGGGTCAGCAGTTGTGATGTGGGCGTAGGGTTTCCCTTTAGGTGTAAATCTAATCTTAGGTCTAATCTATACTTCCTGGTACCCCAGGAAGAAAAAAAAAAACAAGGCAGACTCAATGTTCAAAGAGATAACAGGAAAGTGTCCTTTAAAACAAAAATATGACTAACGTTAAGTCAAACAGCCACAGAGAGAAGGAACTGACACGTATGACAGCGTTGGTTTGAGGTTTTTTGGTTGTTGGTTGGTCGGGTTCTTTTCACCGTTAAGGATGCAGGGCGGGAGGGGGAAGGCAGGAGATCTTTACACGTGTAAGAAATATCAGGATATCAACAAAGACAAAAATCATGCTGGACTCTGCACTTGTTACCTGGACTGTTCTTCTGCAACATGAAATGAAATGGCAGGGGGGTAGGCAAAAAACAAGTTGTTTTTTTTTTCATTGTGAATACAAAATAAAAACATTATCAATGAGGCAAGAATTCAGAAAGCACTTCTCGGGTATTAAACCACAAGTACTGTCCTTACATATGCAAAGAGCTCTGGCAAATCAGTAAGGCAAGTCACCTCTTCTTCTCATAGTTTCATACTCTAGTATGACACGCAGGCTCTTGTCCAGGCCATGCACCTGCTGCCCAGGAACGCCTGGTAACAAGCATCTGCATTCTGGCAGGGACTGATGTCGGTGCTCCACACTCTCCACCTGCCATGGAGACCTCTTCACTTAGATGTCTCAGCATTTCAAAGGCCTGAGGACCAAATGAAGGTGATGTTTCTCTAACCACCATCCTGTGGTGTCTATCCCTTTGAACTGGCATCATTCCCTGACCAGCAGGCTGAAAGCCATTCCAGACCCACCTCTCCTCCATCGCCCACATCACAACCACCGGGACCTGTGCTTTCGGCCACTGGTGTCTTGCTCCTCTCTGCAACTGCCCCTGTGCGCACCAGTGTCATCTCTCCCGTCACTACACACCCACCTCATGTCACTCAAATGCATCCCCTCGTGTTGTATCTACACCCTTCGTGACCTGGTCCCTGCCTCCTCCTGGGGCCACCTCTCCCCCATCCCAGACACATGCAGTCCTTGGTCATTGCTAAGATATGCGGGGCTCCCTCTTGGTCCTGTGGCTTTGCAGCGCGCCGGCTGGAACGGCCCACCTTTGACTTCAGGACCCAGCACAAGCCCCTCCTCCACGATCCCTGTCCCAAACCACCAGGCTAGATGGGGTGCTCTCACCCTGAAGCTCCCAGCGCACTCTCCATCAGGGCCCATCAGAGGCTATTTAGCTGGAGAATCACCCAAAGGAAGAGCTGCCCTTCACTTCCCCACCCCGGTCCCGGCCAGCGGGAGGCAATGAGTGATGAGGCTACGATCACTGGACGCCTCTCATGATATCCTTTTACGCTTCTGCTGTTCAGGACATTGTACACTACACCGGGGCTTTCCAAGCCTGAGGGGCCTCCACGGAGGGGAAGCTCCACGCCCTGAAACCTGACGGGGTGGACATGTGTAAGCACAGCCCCGACACCTGGCAAAGTTTGGGGGTTCCCCACCTTAGGCACCTCAAGTGAAAAGCAGGTGTGAACAGACTGCTTCCCATTCCGGGGGTGAAACTGCCAGACGCTGGCGTCTCTGGTTTCTCTGCGTTCCCCAGTCAGTCCGCCACGCTGGCTTTGACACAGGAGCCTGTGATGCAAGACGGGACAGGGAGGTCCCCCTTCGGCGGCCGTGGCAGAAGTTCCCTTTCCAGAATCAACATGCAGTGTGATTTGGGGCTTTTTCTGCAGCTTCCCCGGCCCTGAGTCCGAGTCTCAACCACTCTCAACAACATCGTCATGTGTCCCCACATTCCCTGAATAAACAAGTGCCTTTTCTACCACATTCAGTCGGAAGCAGCTTCTTTCCTGGACACTGAGAAGCAGCGCGATACAGCAGATGTGCCCTGGAAAGCCAGGAATTCTGAAAGCGGTCAGTTACAAACTCGGTTCATCCCACGGTTACAAATGAAATGTGGCTCTGAAGGGATGAGCAAAGTTTCGTGCTTGACTCAAAGTCTGTCTGACATCAATTCTAGAAGAGGACTGGGGAGAACAGTGCGGCTGGCGATGCCGGTGGAAGGACCACCTCTGGAGGTGACCGTCTTTGGCGGAAGGACACCGTATTTACAAGGTGTTCTCACTAACAGCCCCACCCTGTTACACTGATACATGCTCAGCAAGAAGCCCCTGGTTTTTCTTTACATCCCCAAGCAAAACGCAAGGTTACCTTGTAACTATGTCCACTTTCATACATTAAGTGTCACTAGTGTCCCTTCCACTCACTGAGGAGTCCACCAGCAACTTCCCGATCCCCGGTCTCTAGAGGAGGTGCCAGCAGAGGCTGGGTTTCCAGTGCAGCTTCATGTTCGAAGACTTGGGGCAGTTCCAGAGCTAGTTCTGCCGCACCCTGCGTCCTGCACTGGTAGGTAACCTGCACTGTGAGGAGAGAACAAACCCGACCCCATATCGGGTCTATTCCTTTAGCTCTAGCCCTGTGCCCCGTGGCCTGGGCTCAGTCACACTGGCTGTGCGTCTTTTGTAAAAGAATGTTGCCTGTAGCCTGAGATATACAGGAGAGCGCATTCTCAAAGCTCTGACCTATGAGGGTATAACACTTTTCCATTCATGTGGAGAACAAACAGTAGCACCTGTCTTGGAGGCTTATAGAAACATAGTGACCAAGTTTACGTGCACAGCTGCAAGAACAAAGGATTCTGGCACCAAGAAGTTTGCAACAACCAGCCACACCCCTTCCCCTTTTAGCAGAAAAGTAGCCTGAATTCTAACTTTGGGACACTAGTCCACCATCTTCTTGGGCTGCTGGCTTTCTGAATAAAGTCCCTATTCTTTGCCCCAACGACTCTCGATTTACTGGCTTGCTGTGTGGTAAGTGGTGTGAGGTTGGACTTGGTAACACAGTGTCCCAAACACACGAAGAGAATGTGCACCTACCATCAGCCCTTTTCCTGTCCCTCTTGGCAGTAAAGCACGGCTCCTGATCTATTCCATCCCTCACACACTAACTCAGGCACTGAGATCAGGCGCAGCCCCCCACCCCCAACTGCCTGGCAGCCCCGCTCGGCCTTGGCTCGGGGAGGGAAGGGAAGCTGGGTCTTACCTGCCTGTGCAGCTGTGATTAGGGCCGTGTTCCCCTCGCTGTCCTGCCAGTTGACGTCAACATGGGGGCACTCTGCTAAGACCACCACGGTGTCCACAAAGCCGTGGTAGCAGGCGACAATAAGGCCAGTCTAGAAATGAAGAGGGAAGCAGGTCAGAGAGGCAGAGCCGAGCGTCACCACCACAGACCCCGGGTGCACACCCTGCCCCCAGGGGAGGACAAGCAGGGCTGAGGAGTGTGGAGCCAGGCCCGGGTCTCAGCCGCAGGTTAGAGCAGGCCAGCCACGGCTCGTTCTCAAATGCATGCTTGAAACAGAGCAGGACCCTGTGGGACCCTCTCTGGTACAAATCCTTTCTGTGTCCCCCACTTCTTGTTTGTAGGAAATGGGCTGCAATCAGCCTCCTTGACTTCCCTGAGTTCCAACGTGCAGATTCAAACAGCTGCTGATCAGGGATGGGAGGGAAGGCAGAGACAGAATAGTGCAGAGATGGGGCAGGGTCCTGGTTCCACCTCAAGGAACCAGTATCTTTGAGATCTTCTATAGGAACCAAGGCCCCACCCAGGTGGAGGATGGCAACTTCAGACTGACCGCAAGATTCCTGGGGCGCCGCCCTGTTCCCGCACCACCGACCATAAAAATCAGAAGAAAGTCACACACGGTGCGGCCTTCCCCCACACGTTGCCTATAAAAATGTCTCCCTGGAAACCATCGGGGAGTTTGGAGTATTTGAGCACGGGCTGCCTGCTCTCTTTGCTCGGCACTGCAGTAAACCTTTCTCTGCTCCAAACACCAACGTTTCGGTTTGTTTGGCCTCACTGTGCATCGAGCACAGGAACTTGTGTTCGGTAACAGGCTGAATGCTGGGGAGGCCTGTGTCTGGAAACAAAGACCCTGCCCTCAGGGCGCTTACATTCTATTTTAACGGGAGGGAAAAGCGTCAACTACAGACCTAAGATGTAGGTGCTGGAATGTGTTAAAAGTTAAACCCAGGCCAGGGAGTTTGTGAGCACCTCAGGGGCCTTGTGCTTCAGTCTCAAAATAGGTGCTGGGATGGGCTCACTGAGAAAGAGGCACTGGGCAAAGATGGGAGGAGGTGGGGGAAGGTGCCAGCAGACAAGGAAGGGAAAGGCGCAGGCAGAGGGCTGTGCCCGGCCACCCCGGGGACTGGCCAGGAGGCCTGTGGGCTGCAGCAGAGGGAGCCGGGCAGCCTCGGTGGTCAAGGCAGGACTGGGGTTTGCTCTGAGTGCGATGAGGGCTTTGTGAGCAGTCCGCTGTCAACTATCTGCATCAATTCTGGCTGCTGGTCGGAAGCAGGGAGACCAGGTGTGGTGGGTGGGGGAGTGGAGGGTCCCCATTTCCTGGAACACAGCTCCTAAAACCCTTAGAAATCAGTTTTTTGTGTGCTAATGAGATGACTCGTGGTGGAAGCTGGTGCTAGGTGGCTTCCAGATGGGGGCTGGTCTCTAGGAAAACCAACCTTGAGATTAGAAGGTTGGCTCTTTCAGCTCCAAGCACCAGCCTCCCCAGTGCCATCCCTGGGGTGGGGAGGAGAGGGCTGAAAACTGAGTTCAATCACTAATGGCCAATGATGTAACAGTCAGAGCAAATCATGTCTACCTAATGAAACCTCAAAAAAAAAAAAAAAAAGCCCTGAACCACGGGGTTCCTAGAGCTCCTGGCTTGGGGAACACCTGGAGGCAGTAGGAGGGCTGAGTCCGGGGAGAGAGAATGGAAGCCCCGCGCCCCTCCCCACGCCTGGCCCCGTGCAGCCCTTCCCTCTGGCTGCTCCGAGCTGCAGCCTTTGCAGTAAACCAGGATAGGAAGTAAAGCGCTCTCCCGAGATGTGTGCGTCTTTCTAGCAAACTGCTGAATTGGAGGGGGAGCTGCAGGAACCCCCAGATTTAGGGCCGGTGGGTCAGAAGGTGACTCCTGGGTCCTGTGGCTGGCATCTGAAGTGAGGGCAGTGTTGTGGGACTGAGCCCTTCACCTGAGGGGTTCTACGCTGACTCTAGATAGTGTCAGAATTGAACTGAATGGTTGGACACCCTGCTGGAGTCGCAGAGAATGGGAGAGCTGGTGTGGAAAAACGACACATATCAGGTGTCAAAGAAAATCCACACGCCTGACATCAGAAGAGAAGACACCACAGGGGACTCCTGCAGATGCCAGGCAGGTGACGGCGGCGTCATCTGTGCACCAGTGACACTGAGCCAGACTCTGTGGGGCCCTCCTGGGTAGAAATCCTTTCCATGTCCCCCTCCATCTACTTTTTCTTTCTTTTTTTTTTTGTTTGGGGGTGGGTTTAGGGTAGGGTCCGTAAGTTTAAGGGTTTTTGGTTTTGGTTTTTGTTTTGTTTTACCTATTGGTAGTATTCCGTTGGG